TGCAGAAATTGTGGAATTGGGGTATGTTTTGCTGTGTATACTTTCAACAACAATCAAAAATAGAATGAATTATTTTTAAAATGTATGGGGTGGATAGAGGTGCTGTCTGGGCAAGAAAGTGGGGAGGGGGCTTGAATGGCTGCAGCAGGTCCCCCAGATCCCAGGGGCAGGAAGTGCAGCCGCCTCCACGGTGCTGGTCGTTCTGGATCCCACCAGTGTGCTGTGTCTGGGGCAGCTCCGGCTTTCCCAGCTCTGTTCACACGGCCTGTCCCCCACTTGCTGGCTCACTTGCTCACTCTCATGCTGTCTCTCGGCTGCTGAGAGTTCGATTGGGGTGGCATTGACTCAGCTGCTTCCTGCCCATCTCATCCCTCACCCTACCTCCCAGCTGGGCTCTTGCTGGTAGCCCACAGATGGGGCAAGGCATTTCTGTTCCCCAAGTAGAGTCTGGGTCTCCTGGTGTCATGAGAGAGGAGACCGTGGCTTGGCTGGCTTTGAGTCTGGTGGGCCTTTCTTCTGGGGTCAGGCTCATGGGGTGCAGACATGGCTGTCTGGAGCTGACCCTTCAGCAGGGGGCTGTGGGCAGCGATAGTTCCCACAGAAGGAGACTTTGGGCAAGTGGGCACCCAAAACACGTCTCTGCACCTGTGTGGGCCTGGAGTCACTGGGAGGCTGTTCTCCCCCTCCTCTCTTCGAATGCCCAGTCTCTCTCTGCTGGCATAGCCATCCCGTGATGCACTGGACCAGTAAAAACCAGTTGCCATCAAGTCAACTCTGACTCATGGTGACCCCATGTGTCAGAGTAGAACAGTGCTCCATAGGATTTTCAATGGCTTGAATTTTCAAAAGTAGATCATCAAGCCTTTCCTCCAAGGTACCTCTGGGTGGACTTGAACCTCCAACCTTTCAGTTACCAGCCATGATGCATTGGCGAGAACCCCGAATGGGAGGGGAGGTGCTGGATTTGAGAGCCGTGTCAGGGCGTGCACAAGTCCCTCCCCGTCCCCAAACCCCACTTTCTGAGGGATGTAGTGGGGATCTGCATCAAGGATCTGAAAAATACCTCTCTGTTTTGACGCATTCTACCCTCCTTTCAGCCTCTCTCCTATGGAAATACTTTGTGAAGTGGAAATGACTTTAGGTACAAAGATATTTATTGCAGCATTGTTATTAATTGGAAAGGGGCAGGGATAAAACTCAAATGTCTAATGAAAGGGGATGGGCTGAGGAAATCCCATTACGTCCACTGAATAGCACACTCTGCAGCCATGGTGGAGGGGTGATTGGGAAGTGGTAGCAACACTGGGAAATCTTCCATGTATCAGTAAGTAAAAGCAGAAATGTTGTTGTTCTTGTTGGATGCCGGCTTGTCAATTCCAGCTCATAGAGACCCTATAGGACAGAGTAGAACTGCCCCATAGGGTTTCCAAGGCTGTAATCGTTATGGGAGCAGGTCGCCAGGCCTTTCTCCCGCTGAGCCACTGCTGGATTCAAACTGCTGATGGGTTGCAAAATTCTATCTATAGCTATATAAAAAAATACAAATGGAAACTACTGTGTAACAAAGAATGGTTGTTAAAAAAAAAAAGAAGAAGAAGAAGAATGATTATTTTCTGGGTGTGCTGGTCTTTCTCTTTCTCTGGTTTCCAAAATTTCTTCCGGGAACGAACACATATTACTTTTGTGATGAGAGAGATCATAACCCAAGAGAGACGAATGGAGACGGCTCTCTCCAGCGCCCGCCCGGCCTCAGCCCGCCCCCATCTCTGTCTCGCAGGCTTTGGGAACCACCACTGCAGTGCCTGTCACCGGTCCTCAGGTCAGCTCCTTGCAGAGGTTGGCCGGGCAAGGAGCAGCAGTGCTACCTCAGGTAAGCCGGCCCTCGGCAGGCCGCGGGCTGTCTGTTGTCTGCCTATTCCTCCCTGGATTCCTGTCTGTCTCCGTCTGCTGCTGCGGCTGTAACACAAACAGCACGAGCGAGTGGCTTGAAGGAACAGACGCTGACTGTCTCGTAGTTCTGGACGCTAAAGTCCACCTCGGGGTCTCGGCCGTGTTGAGGCCTTCCTCCTCGGCTGCCCCGGTGTTCCTTGGTTCCTTGGCGATCCTCACGTGGCATCTGTCTTCCCGGTGTGTGCTTGCTGCTGTGCCTCATCTGCCCTTTTCGGGACTCAGAAGTGATTAGGTTTAAGACTGACCCAACACTGATACTGCCTTATTAACGTAACAAAGAAGCCCCGATTTTCAAACAGGATCACATCCACAGGTATAAGAGTTAGGATTCTGACTCATATTTGGTGGCACGCAATTCAGTCCCTAACATAATCCCATCAGGGCTGCACTCTTAGGCGGGTGCTGAGCTGGGGGGACCCCTGCTCTCGGGGTGTCTCCTCAGTGGTGCCTTCCCTCTCCGGCCTCCTCTGCCCACCCTTCAAGGAGACGATTGGACCAGATCGTGTTTTCCACGTGGGGAGGAATTTTGAAATCAAGTTAGTGGGTCATAACCAGAATTTTTTTTTTAATGAAATAAACTGGGCTAGACTAGAATAGAAAACATCAAGCGGCATCAGAAGCGTTGTTTCTCGAACCGTTTGCTCCTCTTCTGGGTCACGATGTAACGTGTGTTTTTAACTCTGGGCCACCGTGGAGGAAGTCTGAGAACCCGGAGGAGACAGTGCCTTTCGGGAGGCTGCTGGGCCCGGCGCCCTGGGCTCCCCCCAGGACGCCATGTTTCTGGGCTTGGCACTTGGCACCAGTCATTGGACCTCATAACTGTTCTGGCCTGAGCGCCTCATTTCAGGGGGTTCACACAGGAACCCGCTTCATGGTGGCTGCAAGCTTGAATGAGCCAACATGAAGCCTTTCTCACGGTGCCTGGTGCAGTGCAAACACCGATGATCATCAAGCGGCGGCCTTATTATCAGTAACTCGGCTTCACTGAGCACCTGCTGTATACGCTGTACCCGGCCAGGGTCGGCCAGCTACGTTGGTGAATGGCACTGCCCACTGCCTTCATCCTCTGGGTTAGGCCGAGCCCTCGGCCCTGGCTGAGCTGGTGTTCAGCATCCAGCAGCCTGGAAGGGCCCGGCCACCCCCACTCAGATGCCTACTGCACGCTGCGTGTGCGGCCAGGCTCAGACACTACAGGGCGAGTGGCCTCTCTCCTCCGAGCCACTGTCTCCTGGTCTGTAAGAAGGTGCTGCTAATGCGGACCTCACAGGATCGGTGTGACTTTGTGGGGTTTGGGTGTCCTGGGCTCAGTCTGTAGGGATGGTGGTCTCAGGGACGCTGAGGGGTGGACACTGGGGGCGGCTAACAGGGCACAGCGCACACTTTCTGTGTGTTTTCTCCCCGACGCCTAACCCCAGGAGGTGGCTCTCATCACCTTGTTGCACAGGTGTTTGCCCAAGGCCACATGGGTCCTAGAGGAGCCAGGACTGGCCCCGGCCTGACCCCCTCGTGGGCTGCGTGCGTCTGCACGCAAAGCCATCAGGCTCCCTTGTTTTATGTGGGCTTCTCGATACCAATCACACATGTACAGTCCCATGATTTTCACAGGGGACACACCAGCAACCCCACCAAGATCAGGGGGCAGGACTGCGCAGGGCCCGGAGCCTGCAGCCCCTCTGGCCTCTGCACCACTGCCAGGCAGTGCCCTGCAACCTCCGGTGCCGAGGCTGGCTCTGCCTGCGTTGGGCCTTGGCATGAGCGGAGTCGAACTGCACGGACCCCCTCTAACTCATCCAGCGGCTGCGCCCCGCTGCGCACCTCCTCTCTGCTCCCCCTTTTAGTTGCTCCAGAGAGCCTCAGCCCGAGCGGCTCCCCTTGAACCTCCAGGGCCGGCCGCTGCAAGCCCAGGACACGGAGCGTAGGGGGGCTTGGATGAGTGCTCTGGCCTCCGTGCAGCTGTCCCCTCACCTCTGACATGGGACGTCACAGTCCCTGGCCTTCCCTGAGTCCTGGCTCTGCTCAGGACTGTCCCTCCACACACCTGGGGAGCTATCACTCTGCCTGTGTCTGTCTGTCTGACCATGCATCTGTCCCTTCCCCCCAGGTTAGGCCAAAGACTCTGATTCCAGACAGCCTCCCAGTCACCCCAGGCCGGGACCGGCCCCCCAAGCAGCCCCCAGCGTTCCAGAAGGCCACTGTGGTCAGTATCAAGAACCCCAGCCCAGCCCTCCCCACTGCCAACAACACCGTTAGCCACGTGCCAGCAGGCAGCAGCCAGCCCCAGGCCCGCGCCGAGCCCACCGCCGTCGCCTCTCCTCTGAGCAGCGCCGGCGTGGCCTACACCATCCTCTCCACCTCCAGCAATGCCACCGCCATCACGCCCAGCACCGCTGTGTCTGTGGTCAGCGACAGCATCAAAGTCCAGCCCCTCCTCATCAGTGCCGACAACAAGGTGAGTGCCCCCGGGGCCAGCTCCAGGAAGGGCATGCCACACCCACAGGCAGCACCCTGTGCAGTGGTCCAAGAGGGGCTGGAGGAATAAGACCTGGGCTGAACGAGGCTGGCCAGGTGATGGAGTGAATGAGCAGGGATGTGAGTGGATGATGAAATGGATGGATGGATGGATGGGTGGGAGAGTGGGTGGATGGATGGGTGGGTGGGTGAGTGGATGGATGGATGGATGGATGGATGGATGGATGGGTGGATGGATGGGTGGGTGGGTAGATGGATGGGTGGGTGGGTGGATGGCTGGAAGGATGGATAGATGGGTGGGTGGATGGATGGATGG